ACGAATACTCAACAATATAAAAAACAAAAATAACTCAAAACCGTTTCCTCTGTTTCACTCACTCCCACTTACTCCAAAAACTTTTTTCTTCATCAATTCAATTATGAACGAAGAAATGAGCGGAGAGTCGCCGGAAAATAATAAACACGTAACGAAACCGAAGATGCCCGAAAAAATCGATTACGTGTTCAAAGTGGTGGTCATCGGAGATTCTGCTGTCGGAAAAACGCAGCTCCTTTCACGTTTTACACAGAACGAGTTCTGTTTCGATTCAAAATCCACCATTGGTGTCGAGTTTCAGACACGTACGATCACTATCCAAGGCAAACTCGTTAAAGCTCAGATCTGGGATACCGCTGGTCAAGAAAGGTAACATACACACACATTCATAAATTTTTTATACATTTTTTATAAAAGCTAAATCTCATTCTGAGATTCAAATTAAATGATTTAAATAAATTAAAGTAGAATTTTTTTTTCTTGGATCACGATTTTTTTTAGATATGGTTTAATTGGATTTTAATAATTATTGGGTTTCTTGATTTGGTCATTAAAAATGTCTGATTTGAATAATAATCGATTGAGGTTCCGAATGGGTATAGTGCGGTGCGAGACAAATAGTAACAAAAAAAAAATATATACGTATAAGTGTAGATTTTTGGTACTGTTTAGTGTGTGTGGTAAAGAGAATTGATTTTTTACTGCGTTTTCCGGCGATCAGATACAGAGCGGTGACGAGTGCCTATTACAGAGGAGCGTTAGGAGCGATGGTGGTTTACGACATAACCAAACGAGCCACATTCGACCACGTGGCACGTTGGGTTGAGGAATTACGTGCTCACGCCGACGATTCCGCCGTGATTATGCTTGTCGGAAACAAATCCGATCTCGCCGAAGATAAACGCGACGTTTCGACGGAAGACGCCGTCGAGTTCGCAGAGACCCAACGGCTTTTCTTCTCGGAAGTGTCGGCTTTAAGCGGCGGAAACGTCGACGAAGCTTTTTTCCGTTTGCTAGAGGAGATTTTTAGTCGTGTTGTTGTTTCGAGAAAAGCTTTGGAATCTAAAGACGGTGGATCCGTCGTGAAGCTCGACGGTTCGAGAATCGATGTGATCTCTGGTTCGGATCTTGAGATTAAGAAGACGAATGAACAATCTTCGTGTTCGTGTTGATTTATTTTTATTTTTGAGTGATGGGTCGAGAATGGGCCAGTTACATCGAAAACATATTAAAGCCATTTAATGGCCCAGATCTTTGTTTATGGGCTTTTCACATATTTGGTAGTGGTTGCTTATCCGATAATCTCTTTAAACATTCTTGTATATATGCTCAAACAAAACA